CAAACCCGGGTGATCGAAGACCCAAAATCTGATATAGTACTGCAGGTGCATCCAGCCCTCTCTGAAGAGAGGGTTGCTGAAATGTGTGAGGGGCAGCTAAGGCATCCCACACAGAAGCTCAACCAGCACCCAAGAAATTCCTGCCATTTTGATGGGTCCGTTTGATGGTAAAATTAGCTGGTCGTGCCGCATTGGAGAGAATCGCCCAACTAAGCAGCAGAAGCAGTGCCGTGTGACTTTCCACAAGTAACTATGGTAACCCAGCGCAAATAAATGCTATTTTCAAACCATGGGCAGAACCTCCTCGTGGGAAGCCCTGGCTGATCCCAGCTGCCGGCTGAGTGCTGGGGTCCAGGCATGGATGCCCTGCAGAGCGAGGGAGGGAGAAGACCAGCCAACGCACAGCGCAAGGTCCTGGAGAGGACAAGGAGCTTGTCCTGCTTGCTCCATGATGGGGTGTGCCAGAAAAAGGACAATGGGGGAAAAAAAACCAAACAGCTTTTGTCTGCACCATCCCCAGGAGCTACGGAAACTGTGGCAACAAGGATGATCTCCCAGCTGCATTCGCACACAAGCATGGCATGGAAAAGAGGAAGATCAGAGGTTTTATATAGGGCAGGAAAGTCCTGGACAGAGAGATGAGAAGGGAACGGGATTAGATTAGGTTAGATGAGGACAGGACAGGACAGGACAGGACAGGATAGGATAGGATAGGATAGGATAGGATAGGATAGGATAGGATAGGATAGGACAGGACTAGAGGTCCCTAATTTGCCTCAGGAAGTCTAGCACCGGGTAGTGTGCCAGACAAGGAGTTAACAGCTCAGGATGGAAATCAGTTAATTAAGACCCAAGCAGAGCAAGAGAAACTTGCTTCGAAAATCTCCCAGGTTCCTGACCTCCTGGGAGATGGTATCACCCCATGGACACGGGGAGCAGGGAGGAGTCAGGGAACAGTCCCCACCAAGCCCCGTGACTCCGGCCATGTGATTTCAGTGAGATGCCACAGAAGACGCCGAATGAGGAAATGCTCCCGCGAGGTTTGCTCCATTGCTGGCGAGGGTTTGCTGCTGAGGCTGAGGGCGATGGGTCCGCTGTCAGCCCTCATTTTCCCATCCCCACCCCTGGCATCAGCTCAGCTCTGCTGACCCCCTCAGTCCTCCTTCCCCAGCCCTGGCCAAGACCCTGCCCGGGCTTGTCGTGCACCGAGCTGTGCGGCCTTGGGGAGGTGTACGGCATTTTTAATACGTTAACACCAAATCCCCTTGGGAAGACCTGGTGGCCAGAACATCCCCTGCTAAAGCACCCCTGTCCTGTCCTGCAGCAACGCGCCTCCATGCTGGCATCTCCATGCCCAGACCCACCAGAGGGGCAGGGTACTCCCAGCTGGCTTTCCAGACCCCTTCCAGCCCTGCTTCGTGACACAGGTGAAGCTGCCGGCATCGCTGCGACATTTAGAAACAGGAGCCTGGAGCAGGTACAGATCCCGCAGCAAACAGCTGATGCAGCATGCTGAAACCCAGCCGGGGTCAGGGCAGGGAAGCAGCCCAGCTGTCTCGGACAGCAGCACCAAGCAGCCTGCACCGGCTCCTGCTTGCTAAAAGCAGCCAACGAAAGCTGGAGACCTGTGTTAAATCGCTCTCTGGCACGTTTTGTCCATGCAAAGACAGACACACAGTTCCAGGGTGGTGGGAAAGGCATCCACCATAAGGTCACACAGAAAGTGCCCCCCAAAAAGGTGGTGGCACCCAGACCCTGCACCCACTGGAAAGCCCATCTCAATCCTCGGCTCCTTTCCTCAGGATGGGAACAGACAACCTAAAGTCACCCTTTGGTCACGTTTGGGGCAGTGCCATGCAGTACCACTGAACATGCACACAGAGCAGGGTTAATCCAGCCCAAAATTAAAAGGCAGAACTAGAGATGACAAACTCACAGCCTCCATGGAGAACATGTGCACACATTCGGTGGCAGCCTGGTAAGCGTCTGCCTGGCGGTGTGAGGAGGGTGCGTGCGAGTTGCTGTGGGAACAGTAATTTGGGTTCTTCTGCCTCTGGGTTTCTGGCTCTTTGCCTTTGACGTTGCGTTCGCCTCCCAGTTTTATGCTGAATTTTGTTCCTTCCTTTCATCGTCCTTTCCCTGAGGAAGAAAGCATCCCTGCACTTCCACAAGGCAGAACCAACGCTGGCACAAGAGCTTTGGGTGATCCCACTTAGGGGTGGCAGTGGGGCCAGTGGCACCCCAGGGGGGCTGGATGGGGTACAACACCCACGGGGGCAGAGTGGACCCGGCTCCGAGGAGCAGGATGAGAGAGACGCCGGCCGAGAGACGCCTGTTGCTCCAGGGTCTGCATGGGCCAGGAGACCCAGCTGCAGCAGCAGAGGGTTAGTGGTGGTGGAAATACCATGCTTTTAAACAGCAATAACATAGAAAGGATTTAATAGCATTAAATTACTCTTGTGTACCCCCTCCAGCGTCCCTAGCACCCAGGCATGACAGGGAGCCAGACAAGATGACATGTGCCGTCACCAGCATCCAAACCAAAGAGGTCCTTCCCCTCCTCTGGCCCATGTGGGCTTCGTGCATCCTCATGTCCACCCACTCCACCTGCCACAGCCATGCCTGGGGCAACTGGTGTGGCTCAGTGGGCATCCTGGGAGGATGCTCAGCACATGGTCCCTCCGTTGGCCGTGGTCAGTCCAGGGTCGTGTGGGACATGTGGAGGAGGACCAGGTAGTCCTGGGCAGCTGGAATTAGATGGATGCTCCTGTTTCCAGCACTCAGACCTTCCCCCCATGCTTACCCCAAAAAGAGGAGTGTGTTTGCACTGGGACGAGGGGCAGGACCCATGCCAGCCCCACCACGACCTCTCCCTGTGTCCGCCCGGCCAGCTCCAGCAGCAAGGTGAAGAGTAGGGGATAGAGGGGCTAGATAAATACAGGGCACAGGAGAAAATGTAAAATGGAATAATTTGGAAGAAAGCATTGTCAACAATATAAAAAAAAATCCTTTCTAAGAATCAGCAATTTCCGGTGAAAACCCAATCAATTTCTGAGACCTTTAGTGCTGGAGAACTGAGACCCAGAGACATTGAATGAGTCCCAAATGAAGAGCATGGGAAGAGGAGGAGGAGGGGGAAGGGGGGAAAGACAGCCAGGCTTGGCTCGAGGTGCTCGTGGCCCCCAGTATTTAATCTGTGGCCATGGCACAGGGGCAAGGAGGCTCCCGGCATCCCTCAGCTTCAGCGGGTGGAAGGAGGGAAGCTTAGCCCTTGGGGGTCCTGTGGAGACGGTGCTCAGCCCTCCTGGAGACACGGCGTCCCCGAAAGCACAGCCGCTGCCAACTCGTGAGCTCACTGCTACAAGGGGCCTCTTTGTTCACCGGTGATGGCCGTTCGCCAGGCGGACGGGAGCAATGGTGCCGGATGATTTGCAGGAAGCTGCCATAAGCTCCCCAGGGGGACCCGGCAGCGGCACAGGGAGACCTCGGTGGCAGCAGGTGCCCAGAGGCACAGGGGAAAGAGCATCCTCTGAGGGCCCCCAGAATCCACCCTGCTCCCTGGGTCCCTGCTTGAAATATCGCTGCCCGTGTTGCCCAAGTCCACAGCTGTCCCTGGGACTTCGAAGCTCTCGCCCTTCGCTGTGTCAGCACCCAACACACAGCAGCTTCACAGATAATTCCTGTGAGGCAGAGGACTAGGCTCATCCCTGCTGGCCAGGATGCCTCTGCCCAGGCTCTGCACCCCGCAGGGACGCTCACCACAGCCAGCTTGGGCACGGTGTTCTGGGAGATGCCCGCTTTGGGCAAGGGCTGGCAGCAATGCAGCTGGACACCATGCTCAGCTGGCACAGAGCTCACCGCAAGGAGTGGGATGTGGTACTGCCAGTCCCTCCTCCCCTCACCACCCCAAACCTGGTGAACAAACTACCAGTGCCGCCAGTACCTGAGGGCATGAGAAATTCACCCAGCAACCAATTGCTCCGGATTTCTGGGGCAGGAATTGTTCTCCTGCTAGCGAAAGACTTCCTGATGTTAACTGGGGCTGCTGGAAATGCTCATTAGTAATAATAGCCACCGCCATAGCAACAATGACAGTAGCATGCTGACAAACCACACATCCCAGGGTGCAACACTGAAGGAAAAACAGTGGTCCTGCACCTGGGGAGGAACAACCCCATGCATCAGTACAGGCTTGGGGTGGACCTGCTGGAGAACAGCTCTGTGGAGAGGGACCTGGGGGTGCTGGTGGATGACAGGTTAACCATGAGCCAGCAGTGTGCCCTGGTTGCCAAGAAGGCCAATGGGATTCTGGGGTGCATCAAGAGGAGTGTGGCCAGCAGGTCGAGGGAGGTTCTCCTTCTCCTCTGCT